CTTAATCTACTGAGTCATCTCCCCGGCCCCCAGTTTTTAAATTTTCTTTTCTTTTTTTTTAGGGATAGCTTCTTTACATAGAAAATTCTTGATTTGTATCTGTCTCAAGATCCTATCTTACAATTTGATTCAGAGTAGAATGTTAGTTTGTGTTCTTAGTCTTTTAGAGTAGGGTAAGGTGAAGGTTTTATTCCAGTGCTTCCCAATATTGTTATACAGGAGAGAGTAACTGATTACAACAAATATGACATCTTAGCTATAGTAGTACAATTAATAATGATAGAGCAAGCATAATTTAGACACTGACAAACTGGTAACTATTAATTTTGTACTTTAGTGCATAGGACCAAAGTCTATAGTTACATAACAGTACTAGTCATAAATTAGGAGTTTGTATGCAGAGTGTTTCCCCTTGTTAGAATGCACTTACCCTGGTTTCTTCCAGACCAGCCCTGGGCACTCTGAGAGTCCCAGGTGCTTACTGTTCTGGCTGTCTATTCTGTGGTGTATGTGGATGGGCCATGCATCTGGGCTCCTCCAAGTGGAGGCTTCTCCAGTGGCAGAGGGGTGGTTGGTGGGTTCTCTCCTCACAGGACTCACTAAGGCTCTGGGATGGCTCCCTCTAAATGAGAATATTTAATGTTGACACTTTCATTTTTACAGTGAAAATGCATTAACAGCTTTTTTGAAAAAGAAATAAGCTGTATAATGAGAAGCTTAACGTTTTTTGAAAACATTTAAAGTAATTATTGGGCCCAGGGAGATGGCTCAGTGAAATAAGCACTTTCTTGGCAAGTGCAAGGGCCTGAGTTCAATCCCTGGTTCCGCCAAAAAAAAAAATAATTATTGCACCTCTAGAATTCAGACTGATAGAAATAATTAGAATTTTGGGCACTTTATGCCTAAATGTGTTAAGAGTTTTCAGTGAGAACAATTATAGTAATATCAATCAAAATGCTCTGCTAAGGTTATGGTTGAAATAAGCCATGGATCATTTATCATGCATAATATATAGCCTTTAGTCTGATGAAGGAGCGTGTTTAGTGTGCAAGGGAAAAGGTATACCTTGAAAGGTTAAAAAGCATTCAGTATAGCCAACTTTATAAAAATAAATGAAAAGGGATACAACCTAAGGTTAACTCCTAGGCTAGAAGGATTCTATTTTTCCTGGTTTGGTGAACTTTTCACATTTTCTAGATTTTTTTTTTTTTTTTTTTACATTTTCTAGATCTTAACTGTGTCTTAGTTTTATGATTAGAAAAAAAATGCTGATTCCCTAGGAAAAATTCTTAAGCTAATAGAATGATTTATTTATTTTAAGGATAATGAACAAG